TTGCGATATTTCCAACAACTGTTCCTTCTTGAACCTCCTCGTTTACAGAATATCTAAATTGTCCCTTGGCGCAGGTCCAAAACGAGATCAGAAGCGTCGCGTATGTAATCCATTTTGTCCGAGAACGCTCCCTTTGTTCCATGACGGAGAGAAAAAAAAGTAAAACCACTTGCAAACGGCTTTTCAATAACGCAAACGAAGTCCCTCTGCTACAGATTGTATCACAACTAAATTATTCTTAACAACAATGTCTGTTTTCGGTTTAACTGTGAATTCCATCTGCATCAAAGAGAAGCTTCTCATTATGAAGCGAACACAGGAAGAGGACAAGTCGTGTGGGGTTTACAGACACGCACAAATATTATTATTGTTATACTGACACCAAGTGATGTGGGAAGTCATTGCAAAAGTAGATATAAAATACAGCAAAATATGCACACATATGTAAAAGCACAACGGATTTAAATGTGTCTCTGTATTTATCTGAACGCGCAGTTTATTAATTAGGCCGCATAAAACCGCTTTTTAGTCTTGTTTTTCCTCTTTGAAAAAAAAAGAGCAGGGTATTTTTCAGCACCATGGCCAGAGACGAGAAATATCATGCATTTTTTGTCTCCATGATAAGATGTAAACTTTAAAAAAAATATGTTCTCTGACAAAACTATCACTACTTGATTAAAAACAGCACTCATGAAAGAAGGCCAAACTGAATGACAAACTTCAAAACTCACACAGTTGACTTTATGAAACAAAAAGTTCAAACATTTGCTTAAATATGTAAACAAAGATTGTGTTGAATTTTAGAATGRACAACAAAACTAAAAGGGAAAAATAGCTTATATGAAAAGTATGTTTATTTACACAAGCTGTTTTCAGACAATAAGAGGGTATTGTTCCATTTTTTTAATGTTCAATTTTGTGTGTGATTACGACTTAAAATGTTGAATGCCTCAAAAAGGTGTTCATCTTACCCGTTCCAAACTAAATAAAATAAAATAAAATAAAATAAAACATTTAAG